TAAATAAAATTCTCCTTTTTGAATTTTATTGGTGCACTTATTTATTTATTCAATTTATGTATTTCCACTTTTATTTTTAATTATGTCAGTCTCGGTCCTCCATACTGCAGATCCTGATAATCACCCATTCATTCAAATCAGGTGTGTTTGAGCAGAGAAAAAAGTAAAACATGCGGGGCTGCGGCCCTCGAGGACCAGGATTGCCCACCTCTGCCATAAAGCATTAATAGGGGAACTAATTTCCTGATTAGTGCTTTAGGGCTTTTGCTAATTCTAAAATGTATTAGTGGATTAGCACTTGCTAAACTTATAGGCAAAATTTAGAAGCACTTACTAGGTCTATAAATGTTGTTGATCAACGTTAAGGTTAACAGCTGACAGTGAAAGCTGATGCACATTTTGTTCCTATGTATGTCACTTATCCACCAGGTGACAATATATTGGCAACATATGAACTCAAATATGGCTGTGTAATGTCAATGATAAGTCTTGAGAGAGCAATATGGCAATACAGTATGTGAGTCATGTCTGTTAAAGAATGCTCATGGGTTGACTGGGTTATTTTAGTGCTTTGGAATAGAATTTAGTGCTTTATTGAAAGCTTTTGCTAAAGCTTTCAGTGCATTAGTGCTTTAGAATTAGGGGACCTAAATATTTGAGTTGATGTTTTAGGGCTAGTGGAACTAATTTTTAGATTAGTGCTGCCCACAGCTATTAGTGACATACTTTTGTTAAAATTCAGGCCACGAGCATCACTTCCGGGCCGTACCTACTGCGCGTTGTTTTTAGCATTGGCTCCTAGAACTAGACTATGAAAAAGTCATAAAAGTTAAAGCATTTGCAAGTTACTGGTATAAAACATGAATTCTGTTGTGTGCCGTTGTGTCAACTATCCAGAAGGTATAAGAGAGTAGTTAGTTTTTCTCCATATTCCTCTTTATGAGGAGTTAAGACAACAACAATGGATTGTAGCAATACGCACGGAAAACTTGGCTATAAAAGCTTACAATCGTGTTTGTAGTCAGCATTTCAAACCTGAGGATATTCAAGAGCCACTGTCAGAAATAAGGTGGTTAAAGGGAGCTGTACAATTACCCCCTTCTCTGCCAAGACCCGAGAGAGCAAAGACCACCTCCAGAGGACAGCGAGGAGGAAGCTAACACAGCAGCCAGTACTGTATATAGACTAGACGTTCAAATCATGATTATGCCACTACTCCAGACTCTGCAGTTGTGGATTTAGTGCTGGAGGTAAATGTATTATCTGGGAGGAAATCCGCCAGGTATGGGAATAGTTTAAGAGCCTGACACTGAGGCAGCTGTTCGGCATTCACTGTTTTGCTGTTTCCAACCACCGTTCCTCCTCCTTTGTCTTCGTCCTTGTAGGAGGTGAGCTTAAAGGGAATTAAGCTTTTCCTACATCTCTCATACGCAAGGTTATGAGGAAATTTTTACCAAGGTATTTCTCATTACTTGTTAATATCTTGACTGTGCGAAGTGAAAAGTGACACAATAAGTGAACGTCCAGACGAGTTCAAGTTGATTAACAAAAGACAAATGCAATCATTTATTTACACAAATTGAACAAATCATAAGTACACTTCATTGTGGTTATTCCTATAACAAGTGTCAGAGTTAAATGAGATAAAACCAGCGTCCGAATTTCAATTCACATCACTCAGATTAYTTATATAGAACAGTAAAACGTCAGTTCTGATGTTAACAACCAAAAAATTTTACTGGCACTTTTAGCTTAAGTTTTGGCAAATTAAGAACAAGAAAAGGAGGAAAGTAAGATTAGTATTTTACTACTACTTTTACTTTTATCAAAGTGTGGGTCAACCGGAACTGCACGTCTTTTCTAAGCTCAGGTTCAACATGACACATCATTCCGAACACATCAGCTTTTACCTGATGATGTCTTCTTAAGGCACCCTCGGGGTAGGAGCTGGCTCGCCTCCGATCAGTCAGGGAACTGAATATTGGCTCGCTTACCGGTCATTGGTGAGTAGGTGTTTTCCCAGGTAACTTTCGTCTGTTTCAGTCCAAGCCAGAAAAATTCAAGCTATATCCGGTCCCTTCTTTCCAAAATAAAATCTCCCCACGGGAGGTAAAAACACACTTTAGAGGCTTGAAGCCTCTGGGTGAGACCGGCTGGCGTGCTGGGTCCCTGGCTGTTAAGTCTTCCCTAGTTAGCTCATGGGCTCAGACTTAAAAGCCAAACTGGGTTTTTCTCCGGAGAGAAAACCCAGCTTTCTTCCTAGGTTGGAGTCAGGAAGAAGAGTGTGTCGCTCAAAGCCATCCGGGTTAGTAAAAGAAATGGACGAACTTTGGTTCCGCCCTCAGGCTTAGAGATGAGTCAGAGAAAGAAAGATAAAGATTTGCCAGCGGCGCCAGCACAAGGTTAAAATTCTGTGGCTGTTCACAACAGGATATGATAACCTCTTTTCAGCTTTCTTCTGATAGACTCTAAGAAAAATCACTGCAAAACATTTATGATGATTAATTAACATTTCTGTTTTATAATCAGTTCTGAACCTTCTGTTAGTCCAGATAAATGAAAGATTTTCTCAGGAAAAATCCACAATTATATTACTGTATTCACAGTAAAATAAAAACAGCGATTTACATAAAAACAAAATGAAAACATTGTAATCAGATTCTCTGTGATTTGTTTATACCATTATTAATCTTTAAAGTGTAACTTACCCCCCTGTGAAAAGATAACTCCGCCCCAAGGCGAAATTTGAAAAATGCATCAAAGTGGGTAGGGGAGGGGGTGTGGGTAGAGGAAGGGGGGTTAGAGAGCGGAGGTGTGGCCAGGACGAGAGACCGTGACAGGCAGCTAGCATTAGCATAATTGATGCTACATGGAAAGTGACCACAGTATCGCAGACAGTTACATCTCTGAACGTCTGAGGTGGAGGATTTTCACCCAACACCAGCACCGGACAGAGGAGGAGGAGCGCTCCGACAGCCTGACAGAAAAAAATAAAAGCACACAGCTGCTCATGATCGCTAGTTTAAATCAGGAATAAAAGTAGTTTACCTGTATAAAGAGCCCTAAAAATCCATAAGTTTTGCAGAAAATCCTTACAACTCGCACCACACCCGCGGGGGGGGGCATGAAATCTCCTGCTGCAAAGCAGGAGGAAAGGAGAGAGGGAAAAGTAACTTATAGCAGCAGAATAGGTTGGAAGATGGCTGTTTGATGTTATTTAATCCTATAGGCTCTGACATGTTAGATAAATTTGAAAATGAGGTTATTAACATATCCGTAACACTTGAAAAAATCCG